ACTTTAATATAACAGCAAATGTACAACGTTTCGACAAGGTTTTGTCATCATCAGGTACCAATCGAATTTGAAATCTCAATTAGATTATTCAAAATACGGGCGAGTAATTGACCAAACGCCTCAAAATTATGCTGTTTTGTTAGTTTTGGTCCCCCAAAAAACTCAAAATGGGCAAATCCAACTTTTTTGTATGTCAATGTGTTGGGCCCATGAAAAATTATATTTGTGCCAATTTTCATATTGATTGCTATTGTTATAACAGCAAAAGTCACGTAACGTGCGTGATGAGTTTCTCGAATGATCGGGGAAGTCCGAGTGTGTTCGAGATGTTCCTCTTCGTTAGTATATAAGCCTGGCAGGGAAAGAGTCTACTACTTACCTATCTACCTGATTACGTCAGCGGGGCTAGCCCCTAGGTGCCTCAGACTATAGCTACAAAATTTCTAAAGTTTACTTGACTGGTCTATGGGTATTTGCTTTTGATATTCCGATAAATATATACAGTTTTTTTTTTTATAAATGGTAAGCATATCATGCACGTACTTAAATATCGTTTAACCCCAATTATACCCAACAGACGGCGCTACATATCAATAGCTAGACACGCGACAGTTTCCAAGGTAAAGTATACACTTTATACAAGTATAACATAAAAATTAAACATACAACAATATAAAAAAAAAAATATGAATTTTCAAATGACGTAGGGCTCCTGGTGCAAAAAGTAATGAAACAAGAGCTAAAATCACAATCACAATATTTATAAAATTTAATCCGTACTTTGGCAGCTTTAGACACTTATCTGTAGGCCAAAGTAAGGATTGTATTATATAAATTTATGATTGTGGTTTTAATTAATGTAAAAGTTATAGCTATCAGTGATATGGTTATACTGAAATTTTATAGATGTTGTGTCCGTTCCATGAACATATAAAAACTGAACAAATAAGTTGGAAAAAATAAATAAAATATTAACAAAAAGTAGGGATCCTTGGTTTTTCATAGAATTGCTTTAAGAAGTATCCAAAACAAAATAAATGCTGTAATAAAAAAGTATAAAACAAGTAAAAGAATACTTGTTGTATAGATTTTAAAACGATTTTCAATCCCAAGTAGATAAGTCATTGTGTAACCTTGCGCTTAAAAATCTTTCTAGTTGTCCCCAAAGAAGTTTACATTGGCCGATAACGTATGTGTATGAGCTTGTACGTTTGAAATATAGGAAAGGTGGCGTAAGTTTATGTTATGTACATTTTGTAAGAAACTGGATATCGAGGGTAAATTATTTGGTTTTTAGATCAATCATTTTATAAGACATGAAAAGTTATAGGACACTGACCCCATACCGTGTAGTAATAACACTGGCTGTGGATTCATGCTGAGGAAAACAATATCTTCAGTGAAATTTAAAAATAATATAAATATATTTATTAACTAATGTTACAATAACATCACAAACGAAATTGCTAGTTTCGCGATGGATAAAATTATAAATATAAACTACTTGTTAAATTGTTCAATGAAGTGATTTAGAATAATTTTCTGTCTAAGGATGTTTTTTATGAAGGGACCATTATGTAAATGCTTAATAATTGTTAAAACAAATAAATATGTAATTTAAAATATCCTGTCTAAAAATCATTTAGTTTTTTGCAATATCTGTAATGTTTCTGTAAAGTAAACCACGAAAACAAACAGTATATAGATTATTGTCAGATTTTACCAATACATGATATTTTTATGCAAAATCAGATAGAGATTCCAATTTTCTTAATTTCATTACAATTAAAAATGTCATCTTTCTTAATTAAAGTATTTAAGGGAAATCTGATAACTCCAGAATTTATAAAATCTAATGATATTGGTATACATACTATTTTCCTACTTGAAATTTGAATTTTTACTTAAGTAACATTGTAATCAGAAGTCTCTAGACAAAATACTGTTTTTTTTTTCTATTTTATGGAATACTACCAGGTTTTCAAGCTAAAGAAAATTAAATAAGTATTTAGTATTGATACTTGAAAAAACAATTTCTAAATAAGTCTACTCTTTAACTAATGAATATGTTATATGATAATTGATGACCTTAAAATGCTACTTCTAAAACATCTTACACCGCTGGAAACCGGGTTTCGATACCCGTGGTGGACAGAGCACAGATAGTCTATTGTGTAGCTTTGTGTTTAACTACGAACAAACAAACCAAAATATTTTCATAAAGTCAACTATGTTTCAAGTGTTCTTTTTTCAATTTCAAATAGTCTAATGACATTAAAGTTATTTTGGTGCTCACAAGAACTGAAAGGCGCAAAATGGATTATATTATTTTGAATGCTAAAATCAATCAATATATTGACAGACAAAATCTGTAGTTCAGTTTAAACTAATATACAAACCGCATTAAATATTTCTTCCATTATAAATATCAAATATCGACACTCTTATCTTAATGACTCGTGAATAAGTACACATGCAGTAACTGTAAAGTCGCATACATTGGCAAAAAAACACAAAAAACGCTACCTAAACTTTTAAAGGCTCAAGTTTGTGAACATTTAGGGGTATCCAGTAGGACCGGCTGTCCATGACTTAAATCCAGCCATACAGTTATTTGTTCACATGCAGAAACCACAGGTCATAACATTCAAGGATTTTCAAAAAGCTTGCTCATAGCGAACCTCCCCCCCCACCGCTCTTAAGAACTTAAGCATGTTTTTATGAAGGGGTTACAAAACTTATAGAAAGGGCTAGATGAAGTACGAATTTTGCTTGGTTTAAGGCTTAGCACTCAAGACTGGAATAGTGTGGACTGTAGAGTTTAACTTATGTATCGTGTTCGAGTTTAACTTAACACCAATCTGTAAAGCTTAATCTGTAACATATATATTACATTCGAAGTAGTGTAACATAATTAAATATTTCGAATTTTTACATAACAAGAAAAGGTGTTCGTAATTTTTATTTAGTACTATTAATAATAAGTTGCTTAGGTTAATTAAGCATTTTTCAAAGTCTGTTATTAGTTACGTTGGGAACTAGTATTACTATTAGTACACTTTCATTTTCAAATTTCAGTATTTGGTGTTTGTGCAGTACGCATCGTGCTAAGACACGGTAAGCCTAATTTCATTAACTAACGCGTTTCGTCGTAACTTGAACAGTTTCATTAGGCATAGGCTGATTAATCTTATGTCAATAAAAAAAATAGTAATTGGTATTCAAATGAAGGATTTTGTCAGCTTGTAATCGAAATTTCT